CTAGGACTCCTTGCTAGGATTATTTAAGCTGCAGCACCACCTCTGGTGAAACTCGAGGAACTGCGAGGTTTTTGCTGTTCTGAACATCAGAGGGTGCTGCTTGCATTCATTTAAAACACTTGTTGAAGTGAACTCCACAGGGCCCTTTAACAAAAAAAGAGAAAGTTTTAGGAGTGTACCTTGTAACCCTCTCTCACATGTCCCCGCAGGGCCAGTTTGACATCTTCCACCTGGACTCCATTGTTGAGGTTTGCCTCCAAGCCCATGATGTCATTGAAAACAATAGAATAGAAGCTCTGATCATCTTTTTGAATTTTGTATGGTACTGTGAAGAAGAAGGAGAAATAATTTGCATCGTTCAGGTAAATCTAAGATAGACATTCCTAAACCAACAAAATAATTATTTCATTTTATTCAGTAGGTTATTCAGTGATAATCTATGTTGATCAAATGTTTTTTATTTTATTTGTAATCTTTTACTGAAACTGAGCTGCCAAAAAATATCAATTTCTTCAAGGAATTTAGTTTACAGAGAATGGTGAATAATCTTAGATTTGAGTCACCACAGTCATCAGTTGTTCATACCTTTAGGGTGAAGCTGCTCCCAGAGGTCGCATCCGTCAAAGCTCGATTTGTAACAATGCCTCTCAAAGCACTTTCAACAGAGTTTATGAAACTGGACTTGCCGGCACCGACCGGTCCATGAAGCAGAATCCTGAGATGTTTGACTTCTTTGTTTCGAGGTTGGTAAGATTTCATGAAGTTGAGATTGTCCTGAGTGCTCCTGTTGTAGAAGAACATGAGATTCATTACTTCAGTTTTGAATATTGAATGTTCAACAGGCACACTGTTATTGATGCTCTGCTGAGTGGCAGACCCACACCCAGTTTCATCACCCTCACTTCCTGTTTACTCACGTCGGCAGAGTCCTCCATGGCTGTCTTAAACAAGCTGAAAGACAAATTCACACGTTAACATACAGTAAGACAACTTCAGACTATTTAAACAATTTAAACAGCATCATGTTTCACTGAATGGTAATATTGGAAGATGGAGATGAGATTTATTTTTGAGACATTTTTTCTCAGGTTGAGAGTATAAACATCATTTGATTTATGGATAACTTATTTTTTAATTAAATTGTACTTTGCATACAATTGGAAGAGTAACAGTCTGATGATGCACTTTGCCTTTAAGGTTGCTCATGGTTACGGCTGGCTGAGTGATATTGCTTTAAGACCAGTGAAGTGATGTATCACTGTTGTTGTTATTCAGTCTGGGTGTGTCATGCTATGCTACAGACGGATATTAATGTGTATGAGATAAACAGCAGAAGATGTCCCCGTGCTCCTGCTTACCCACACCCAAAGGCATATTTAATAAAGTATATGTAGTGTATACTTAACAGCAGGACAACCAAGGGTTAAACTTATAATCAACATCACCTCAAGAAACACTGTCACAATATTTGACCAGGAATCATTTTAATATTTGTGCAAAAAGTCTTACGAGAAGGTGGAGGTGTGGGTGGTTTGGAAGGTTGAGGTCCCATATCTGAAAAATATAACAGTGGTGTGTTAATGTCTCTGGACTGAGGGAGAAAGCCGGAGTACCCAGAGAGAAACACTTCCCCGGGGAGAACATGCAAACTCCACACAGAGAGGGGCCTGATCAACAGGGATTCAAACCAGGAACCACCGTGTGCTAACCACTGCACCACCATGCAGCCCATTCAATTTATTCGTCAGTAAAAAAATAAATAAACAGTTCATGTGAGAGTTGGTTTGTCAAAGTAACTTTTAAATAAATATCAATTCCATGTTCACATCATTCAAGAAAAATAAACAAAAGGGAAAAGGAAAACTCAGCAGTACAAGAGTCCTTTATAAAAAAGAGATTTATCATTATAAACATCTTGAAGTCTAAAACAAACTGACGTCAATCAAATGAATAAGAAAATCATAGAATGAAGAGAGTCTTACCTTTTCTTGTGTTGCTCTGAATGCTCTGGAGTGACTCTGCAAATGTGCAGGCTGGTCCGGCTTTTTATAGGATAGGGTTTCTTACTTTCACTTTTGTTCTTAGGTATCTGTTTCTGGTCAGCCTTCTGACTTTCGAGAAATGACCATTCAGATCTTTAGTGACTTTTTTTTTTTCTTTTTTTTTAATGTGCAGGTTCATCAGAATTCGCTTAAGATGTAATACAAAGGGAAAAATGTATCTTGACTGACTGACTATATCAGTCTTTGCATATACAGCAGTGATAGCTTGATATCTAAATGTTTTTTTCAGTATTTATTTATATTTACTCATTCTACCTTTCCCTCTGTGTTTACCTGTCCTCATCACCTGGCTCTTACATTCAGCTGACCCCACCTGCCCTTCAGTGTCCCCTTCTTCCTCTATACTCATCCACTTAGCCTTTTTCTTTTTTTAACATGTCTTTATGATTATGCATCGTTTATGTATTTGCAGCATGTTTACCGTTTACGTTTTTACTGGTTATGTTTCAGGTTTTTGCTGCACTTTTTTTTCTTCATTCATTCTGGGGATCTGCGTGGGGGGTACTGCGGGAATATGGGGCCCCGGGGACCGTTGGTACGAGCCATCCGGTCCCTGTATGACCAAAGTGGGAGCTGTGTCCGCATCCTCTGCACAAAGTCAGACACGCACCCAGTGCGTGATGGCCTCCGCCAGGGTCGCCCCTTGTCACCGGTCCTGTTTGTGATATTCATGAACAGGATCTCCAGGAGCAGCCGTGGGCAGGAGGGTTTCAATTTTGGGGACCTCAAAATCTCGTCTCTGCTTTTTGCAGATGACGTGGTTTTGTTGGCTTCCTCAAGCTGCAACCTCCCAGCAGGCATTGCGAAGCGGCTGGGATGAGGCCCACCTCCAAGTCCGAGGCCATAGTTCTCTGCCGGAAAAAGGTGGATTGCTCTCTCCGGGTGGGGAGTGTGTCCTTGCCCCAAGTGGAGGAGTTCAAGTATCTCTGGGTCTTGTTCACGAGTGAGGGTAGGATGAGCGTGAGATCGACAGACGGATTGGCTCGGCGTCAGCAGTAATGCAGGCGTTGTGCCGGACCGTTGTGGCGAAGAGGGAGCTGAGCCTGAAGGCAAAACTCTTGATTTACCGGCCGATCTTCGTTCCAACCTTCACCTGTGGTCATTAGCTATGGGTAGTGACCGAAAGAATGAGATCGCGGATACAAGCAGCCGAAATAAGTTTCCTCCAGAGGGTGTCTGGGCTCAGCTTTAGAGATAGGGTGAGGAGCTCGGATATTCGAGGTGAACTCAAAGCAGAGCCGCTGCTCCTCCGCATGAAAGGAGCCAGTTGAGGTGGTTTGGGCATCTGTTAAGGATGCCTCCTGGACGCCTCCCTTTGGAAGCACGACCAACTGGGAGGAGACCCCGGGGCAGACCCAGAATGTGCTGGAGGGATTATAAATCCTGTCTAGCCTGGGAACGCCTCGGAATCCCCCAGGAGGAGGAGCTGGAAAACGTTGCTGGGGAGCGGTAAGTCTGGGTTGACTTACTGCGCCTGCTGTCACCGCGACCCGACCTCGGATAAGCGGAAGAAAATGGATGGATGGATAGATGTAGTGCATTTTGGACGTTCACTTTTGATGTTACCAGATGTTTTCAAAAATCAGCTCGGCACAAACGGCCTCCAGCAAGAGATCCATCCACAAGGAATCTCAGGAGATTTCCTTTGAGCAAATGTCTGAGCTAAATAAAATCAGAGGCTTTCACTTTCAGATTGCAAAAATAACCCCCCTCTTACCTCAGCTATTCAGTCAAGACCTCAGAGTCATGCCTGCCCGACAGTGTTCCCTATCCATTGTTTCTTCGTCTGTGAGCTCAGCCCTCTTCCACCCTCTGTTGACCAGCAGAAACAAAGATTGGGGAACCACCAAGTGCAAAAGTTATTCTCCCCTTTCTGCTCCCTTCAGAGCCCCCAGTCAGGCCTGTTAAAAACAGTCCAGAGAACACAGAACTGCTGATGGTTACTCCAATATATTTCACAGCTTAGCTGCAGAGAGTGGGTGTCATCGCCCTAGTTTTCGCGTGTGTCCGGCTCCGTTGCTACCCCTCGACCCCCTCGACACAGGATCAGGAAAGCCCCTTGAGCATGCCGCTGTAGTATCCATGCTTTCACCCATTAGTGCGGTTTCTCCTTATTTGTCCCTCCGTCTCTTTTTTTCTTTTTCCACTAAAAGACCAAGGCTGACAACGCCAGCGCCATTTTCAACTTTTTATCAGACATTATTCTCCATTAGTATTCTACCTATAATGCGAGTGGTGAGCGACAGCGGTGTGAAAATGGTCTTCTCGTATCATAACAACGGACTACCGCCCCTGCTGGCATGGAGAGTTATTTCCTCTCATGCATGTGCAGAACGTACGTGGTGGTTGGCCGTCGGCTGTAGTCTTGCAGTGTGTTCAAGTGCAACTTTTTGGCCAAGACAAAAGGCGACGCCACAGGCTGCCTTCATCACCACTAGTTCTTTGCCGTCTGCTCAGTGTGTCAGGGCCTTAAGGAATGCGTCCTAAAAGTTGTCACTGAAACATGACAGAAAACAATAAAACACGAGAAAGGTGAAGAGTGAAACATCAGGCATGGAAACAGCATAACCTTGAAGACACCACACTAAATGAATTCACGACTTGACACAGTTAGGAGAAAAGTAAGGTTTCGTTTTCTCAAAGTTTTTTTTACTTTGCATCTTTTTTTTGGTTACATCTCTTGTTTAATGAATTACAAACATGAATGCGGACATCAAGTCCTCCCAGTTTGATGCTCCATAGTCACAAGTGCATTTTTTAACATTTAGATTAATATCAAAACATTGCATAAACAAGTAAGGCTATTAAAAGGCCATAGAAAAGTGGTTCCATTCAGGTAATGTTCACCACCGTTTGAATATGTAGATGACTTTGTGCAGTTGGACAGCGATGCTCCACGTCTTTGCAGGACTCAATGCAGAACGGGAGGAAACAGCAGAGAAAACACCTGTAAGAGGAAGCAGGAGGCGTTTCAATTATTTCACCCTAAAGTTACAAAAGCTTGTATAACTGCTTTGTTGCCTGTAAAGTTTCAAATCATTTGTTGAAAATGTTTATAGATTTCCCCCCCCCCACTAAATTCCACCCGGTGTTTGTATTTTTACCCAAAAAAGGTGAGGCCGGCACAGATGCCCCAGGTCATCAGGCCCGCTGTGTGATGCGTCACGGTGACCACTGTCTGCTGGCAGTGCGGACACAGAGCTTGTCCCGGGCTGTCATGAAGCCCCGCTGTTACAACCAGGTGAGTGACTGAGGACGAGAATTGCACAAAGCAGAACGTATAGGATTGGTCTCCATTTTCAAATTCTCAATCAATGTCATAACCTAGTTAGTTTCGGCTGATGGATGTTCAGCATGAGTCTGGTTTTGCCCAAGATTTCTGCATCTTAAAGGAAGATGTTTCAATCACCTTTAACTTTGCTAGATGCTGCTGAGTGCTCATGATGGATTAACGTTGGGTCTTTGTAGATAAATAACGAGTAAGGTCTTTAACCTGCTCTTTAGTCTCTTTTAACTCCTTTTTCAGGTATTAATGAAGGAGTGTTCATCTTTTAAATCACACTTCATCTAGTGCAACTGTTAAGGTCAGTTTGTCCAACTCTTCTGTTGGAACTTCTTGTGTTTTAAGAATGAAATGTCTTGGCTGCAGTGACTCAAAAGGACCAGCAGAGGGAGCCAAAAGACTGAGCAAGTTAAACATAAAAGTAGATACTGTTTCTGTCTTTCTTTGTTCCCTGCTTGTGTACTTTAAGTTAACAAGCTGTTGAAGCAGTAAGAGTTTAATCGTGAACGCTGGTTCTAAAAGTGAAGTTTAAAGCTGCCATGGATGGGGAAAATTTAAAAAACTAAAAAATTACGTACATTTAAACGTGACAATTAAAACAAATCCCTCAAATGAGACGCTCACAGTTCATATGAGCTAGTGTGTTTTAAATTTTTGGATTTCATGACAATCAGAAATGTACCTGTGAAAGGACCTCTGTTATAAGCAAAGCTCATACGGTGACCCTCAACCACACAAACAGTGAACAATAGCTTTTTGTTGAGCTCAGACGACACAAACGGGCTATTCTCCGATGACTCTGAGCAGAGAGAGAGGATTTCACCCGATGACTTTGTGACAAAGCAAGATTTCCTCATTCCTAAAACTAGAACCGTAACATATTTACCATCTCTTTACGTGTGTTAGTGAAGGGTTGACTTGGTTGTGCACGCCCTTTTCTGAAAAATGGTAAAGTACAACAATGCATGCATCTCAGTCGTGTTGGCATACTGTAGGTGCATGACCTCACCTGTTGCTGCAGGTGCAGGAGGAGCGTAGGGAACACCTGGCAGAAAAAACACACAGTTTACCAAAGTGAGAAAGCAGAATTCAGATCTGAATTTTGATTCGATGCTCTATAACTTTGCTAATTATGTTTGCTTACATGTCAGTGTTCTCTACAGATGTAGAGTGTTTTTACAGTGACTGGTATTTTGTGAAGCAGTTTGTATGAAAGGTAGTTGACTTGAGTTTGCGATACACCGCGGATAACCTCAGGTAGATGGAGGTCAGCATATTTTTCACCAGAGCGGCTAGCAAGACCAACGAAGCAAAGTTATAGTGGATATGTTTGGAATCTAAAACTATATCTGTTTTAAAGGAAGAATGTGTGACTTTTCGATCGACTCTCGAGCTGCAATCACCTGTGGCCTGCATTGTTGTGTTAGCATGCTAATGTTAGCGCTCTTTAGTTAGCTTGTAGCTTCACATCTACGGAAATTGACAAAGAATGACAGTGATCGAAAAACGCTTAGGTGTCATTCGAATAATCAGTATGTTCTTCTTCGTCTCTCTAGTCCTTGACTAAAACAGCTTTTACCGTCCTGTCCATGTAAACAAGGCTCTCACAACAACACAGCCAGCGGGTGAAACTTTTTGAAACCATTTTCTGACTGAAATCATTCACACCACAAAGACCGGAGTCTCTCTTAAGGACCCTGTGAACCTCGGAAGGTAAGCTTGAGCAGTCACACCACGGCACACTTCTACTGACTAACGGCTGGTAGGGAGCGAGTTCTAGGAAAGAGTAGACTAGTTAACTAGTGGGTGGTGAGCTTCTGTTAGCTATAGTAAAGTTATTGACCCCTTTTTGCATGTCCAGGACATGCTACAGTGGATATATCTTTAAATTGTGTCAACCATCTAAGAGTAATTCTTCTTTTAGGTTTGTGGAGCTATAATACATGTGTAAGAGACATCATAGCTGCAGAGTTATATTTGGATTGGAGCCAAGTGTCTGTCGTGAGCAGAAAAGGAAATGAGCAGAAAAGCCAGGAATTTGTAGGATGTACCTTCTAGCAGAATATAAGCAACACTGTGAAGATGAAGACTTTGCCACTTTGCCCACGATGACCAATGAGGCCAATGATTGCAAGCGATAGTGAGATCTTGGTCAGCATGGGTCAGCGATGGTCTGCACTTTGTCAGCCATGTGTGTTGTGGTTCGATGTTGTCTGACCATGGCTGAATAAATCCTAAAATGATCCACAGTCTGTTTCAGGAATTCATCATTGTCCATTTAATACAGAAACAACCCCCACCCAACAAGACATGATGACAAACATCTTTTGTTTCAATAATCGAACTTTGATTAATCCAACTCATTGGTAAAGAATGACTTACACGAGGAACCAGCTTGTTACTGTTAGTGAATCCACTCTGGGAAATCTCAGGTTTCATAAACCATCTACACAGCAATTTACCATTTTCACGCAGCTAATTCATGCAGAATTACAACAAAGTTTCTTTATTTCATGTTCATAATGTAAATATTCAGAATTACTTGATTGCAATGGTTTATGCAAATATACAATTTAATACACAATATAAATATTGTGTCCCACTTTTGATTTTGTACCTCTTACACAGTCATCATTAAGAAATACAAAATGTCAAACTCAGCTAAGAACGGTCAGGAAATCCATTATTTGTTTCCTCCTGTCTTAACCATCAATGAATCAATCACGCCTTACATCACATGATATATCCATCATACAATAACAAAATGACAAATAACTGAAAATCACACAGCAGGTTACACTTACAGGTTTGTGTTAATGTTCCTTCATCATGCATCGTCTGCCTCAGCAGTGAGACGGTCTACATGTAGTTGAGGTAGTCTTCTCCTTGGGTTACCATCTCTCTCAGTGTGGTCAAAAGCGGCCCGTTGATGTCGTCAGTCGTTTTGATTTCTGACTCGTAGTTCTTCACCAGAAAGATGCAGTTGATGGGAATTCCCAGCATTGCACTGAATTTTTCCACCTGTTGGAGTCAAATAATTTCAGATAATCAAATTGCAAAGCTCAGACCAAAGGTGGAAATGTGATGAAAAAAAGAACTGAAACTCAACAATAACAAATCTAAACCGGCTCACCTGTCTCTTCAGGTACTTGCTCTTG